AGAGCCACATGGAGCCCCGGCGACTCGGTGATCTGATGCAAAGAGAAAGAAAAACGGAGGCCTCTGCTCCGCAGCCCAACGAGCCCTGCTGACACTGTCAAGGTTGGAGAAGTCAGAGATCTCAGACTTTTTTCCAGTGCAGGATACACACAAGTGCCTGGGAGCCAAACTCGCCTGCTCTTGACTCTTCATGGCTACCCCCAGGGGGGCTGGAGAGAAGGATGCTCTATGCCCATTTCCCCTTAAATTAACTCAAGGGGCAGGCAGCAGCTTGCTTAGGCAGCTGTGCAGCGCTCGGGTATTTACAGGAGTAGCAGACACCAGAGCCTCTGCGGAGAGGCCAGGACCACACTCCACTGCAGAACCGCGTGACGTCGCGGGGAGAAGCGTTCCTACAAGCCTGGCAGAGACTCCAGGAGGACAATAAAACCCAGGCCAGCAGCCAGAGCAGCGGAAGCCCGGAGCAGACTCCTATTTCCTTGGAAATGGACAGAGTGATAATTCTGTCAGTGAAGTCCCTATACGTAAAACTTCCACTTTCAAGAGAAAAAGACTAACCAAAGACATGAGGTGTGTGTCCCGTGGCTTTAATCATACATCCCAGGGAGTCCTGTAGACACGGCCATCGGCTTTCGTGGGCACGTCGGACAGCACGGCTTCACTGCCCACTCAGCTCTCAGCGTGCACGTTCGGCTGGATGGATGCAGGCAAGGAAAAGAGAGATATAAAAGGTAAACACTAACAGACCCCAGGGGTTCATATCCTGTAAACAGTCCAGGGACCGCTCCTGGATCACCCAGCACAATCTGCAGGCTGCCTTTGAACTCAGGACCAAAGGAGAGAACACCCAGGTTAGGAGCGGCTGGCCTGGCTCCAGCCCCTTCACGTTCTGGCTCAGAAAGTCCCGAGTCAGGACTTCTAGACTGCTTATCCTCTGGAGGCGTGAGGGTTCAGCCTGCTGTGTGCATCCATGCAACAGCCCATCACAGACCCCAGATCTCACCTGCGGGGGTCGGGTGGCACCACCAGCAACTTCCCACCTCATGTGTGGCTGGATCCCGAGACCCCGGAGGTGGCAGGAAGCTGTGTAACCCCCCACGGAGTCCTAAGAGATGAGGAGAGCCCCAGAGGTCAGACTTGGAACACTAACACCCTCGTCTGCCTGGGGGATGTGTAACTGGGGCGGCATGTCCCACCCCATGGTGGATGCACATCAGCCTTGATGGAGCTTAGATGCAACATCCTGCAGAAAGCCACACCAGGGCCTATAGCCCACAGGGCAAGTGGGAAGGGACTCAATAGACACTTCCAGGATCTCCTTCGCAGAGCACAGCTGACCACTGGTCAGCGTACCCTCAGACCCCACTCATCCTAAGATCTCACTACAGACTCTTCCAGAAAAGAGAACTTCAGGAGTGGAAGTGGAGGTGGCAAGCTCTGAACAGATCCTGGTGTGCGATCTGCAACAGAAGTTTCAGAATCTTCTTCAATTAGGTTCTGATGGAAGGGAGCCTGGCCAGATTCCACTGGGAGAGGACTCCAGCGCCACGGCCTGGGGGAGAAGCCCTGGTTATCTTTACGAGGAGGGGGCTCCACGGGGGGAAGAGCCAGGGGGCACCTCCAATATCATCGACCAAGACAGAGCAGCCCAGGGCAACTGGGATGAAAGCTGCTACGGGATTTGTCTTTTAAGGCTCATGTGTTAATTCAGTAAACATCACACAGGCGACTGTTGCGGTTCAGGCCCTGCTGTAGGTGCTGGGGGCAGAGACGGGCGGCATTCACCCGGGCACAGCAGCTCCGTTCAAGGGATGGAGACTAAATGATATGGAGCCAAATTCATAATCACGCGTCATCAGTAGAGGGAGCAGAGGGAGAAGAAAGGACGGCTCTGGGGGACCTTTCAGAAGGTGCTAGAAGGTCAGAAGGCCCTGTGTGTCTGGGGACAGAGGGGTGAGGAGTGGCAGCCACCCCCGAGCCAGGGCACGTGCCCCAGGCCGGGGAGAAAGTAACACGGTGACGGCGCCCCCACACACCGGCTCCTGGACAGTCTCGGCCTCCACAACCACCACTCACACAGGCAGCGTCCTTCTGATCAGGGTCCAGAACCAAAGTGAGGGCCATTGCCCCTCCAGCAGGTGGTGCCCCCATCCCCACCCCCCAGGCCCCCACCGGCCCGCTCACTACTTTAAACAGGGAGGCATGCACACAGAAGGAGGCGTCCCGGGCACAGAGTCCAAGTGCCCTAGAATGCCCACCGCTGGCTTCCGTCCAAGTCCTCTGAGTGAACCGGAGCAGCAGGTGCGGCTTTATCCTGGCCATTTGGCCGCTAAGACCGAAGGGACCTTTTGCTCTGTGTCAGCTAGAGTCAGCCAGATGATTAACCTTCGGCCACCGCCCTGTCCAGCCAGCTGTCTGCTCCTGACTGAGGCCGGTGACTCGGTGAGCTCCCTCCTAAACGAGAAAAGCCCCCCCTGGACTGAGCCCTGCACACCGTTCCAACTCGACAGCAGGGCATGGCGCTCCACGGTTTGCCTGGCGGGTGACCGAGCACCGCCCGACAAGTAGGTGCGCCGTCACCTGGGGAGACAGACGGGGAGGGAGGTGCCGGCTCAAGGTCACCTCGCTGCAGGGCACTCAAGGTCACTCCCTCCGCAAAGAAACCTGCTCTGGGCGGCAGCTTCGCGGTCACCGGGGACTACAGATAGGAATCAACTGACAGATGAAGTCGAGTCATCTTGTTAACAAGAACTCAGATTAGATTATGCTGTGATTACATGGTTCTGCGGTGTGATAAATTGGTTAATAACAGGATTCCCACTGTAGATGCTTAATGGGAATTCAATAATTACAGGTACCAGAATGGTACTGTTGGCCCAGGAAATGCTAGCGCCCGCCCTCTGATCTAATAACACAAAACCTATCTGGACCTATTGAGATGGTTATGATCTGGAGAACATGCCTTCAGCACTAAACCTTGACAAATACTAGCCTTGACAAAACGACTCTTTTGTGCCTACGCTACCATATTGGATACCATAATAGCTTATAGACTCAATAGCAAGGATCTTGTTTTCTTTGTTAAATGTCCAAGTTGAAGAACACTTTCATAGGTTGTTGCCATTATACAATTAGTGACCAAACAGATGATAAGGAGAAAATATCTGAATCGCATCGAATAGTTTAGGAAACTTTTATTTTTCAAGGGAGACGGTGCAGGGGGGATCCTTATCCTTTTTCAGTGAGATATCAGGGCAGTCATTATTATACCCCTTCAAGTGAGCGGAACTGAACCTTAAAGAGGTGAAGGCGTTTACCTGAGCTCCCCTGCAGCATCAAACAGGAAAGCCATGACGGAAATCCTTGTTCTTCCCACTGCAACGATAGCCAAGGCTCCTGTTTCACAAAGGCAGCGCGTCCTAAGGTTTGCACTTTCACAGCTGTCCCCAAGAGGAACCAAACCTCCATCAACCCCTGTTCTAGACTAGCAGGTCACGAGTTCACAGGGTTTTATTCTCTTTCCTATAAACTGCAGTATAATGCAAAGAGGCCATTTGAAATGAAGGGGAAAAAATCATTGTTTTGGGAGCAGAGAGAAAACTAGTCATAAACTTCTCTGATGGTATTTTTAATTTTTCACTAATACAGTCTTTGATGCTAAGAAAAATGGAACAGTGGATTTAAAGCATAAAACGGTCCATTAGATGGGTCTTGAACTTGTTTTTAAAGCTCCAGATAATACAGCTTTGCTGTTTTGTCTTTCCAAAATGTCAAAATGTGGCTAGGATTAATGGTTCTCTAAATCAATAGAATATCATGTTTATAAATGGTTTACGGTTCCACTGGATATAAAATGTTATGAGCTCATGTATTATCATCACTGCTGGGCCTGTACTGAAATCTACTGACATTTCGATGGGCACCCAGATCAGACAGGGAAGGGGCACAGAGGGGAGGTCTCGGAGGTCTGGCTGACACAGCGCCCAGGCTCAAGTTAGGAGGGTTCAGGCGAGGGAAGCAGAAGGGGGCTGGGCCCTTCGCCCCCTGCCTGACCACGGAAGAGTGACACTCGAGCAGGGGGTCCCACCCAGAGTTAGGGGGTCCACAGTGGTCCCTTCCAAAGCCATGGAGACATGGGAGGACTCCAGGCAAGCTGCGGCGTTATTAGGAGAAATGTCGTAACAAACAGGATACACTTACAAATCTGCTTTAATCCTGTCCTTCTAACACAAACACTGTCAGCTACTGGCGAATGCCCTTCCCTATGGCTACATGCACTTTATGCACTTTTTGCACTTTATGGCTTCAGCCGTGTAATTACAATTCTACGTTATTTTCACTGAATACTATGTTTTTGACAAAAAAAAAAAACTATCTTTGAGAACGACTGAGTGACATTCAATGGTGTTCACTTGATAAAACACACATTTTTGTATATTTGGGTTCTTGCTACTTTTTCAAGCAGATGAGATTTTGCAAAGGAGCCTAGAAGCCAAGGTCATGTCACTTAACAACAGTTTCAGGTGAGATGAATGGGTTACTCTGACCTTGTGAAAAGTTGCACAGAGCTTCCAAGCACCTGCTGCAAATGTACTAAGATGACCCCTAAACGCTCTATATCTTTGCTTAACTATTTATGCCATGAAGCACATGTATGCAGTTCATTGATAAGCAAAAAGGTTACTCACATGTCACATTTTGGGTTTCAACAGTCTATGCTTTCACACCAACTGTGTACACCAATAAAGCATCAGAGGTTTGCAATGAATCCTAAGTAAATTATTGTCAGAAGAAAGTGAGCTTTTTGGAGATAGCTCATAATGACTGAGAGCTCAAACATATTCTCGCCAATTGCTTAACGTTGAGCCATAAAATGACATCATGAGCATCATCGAAGTGATCATTCCGCGGGTAGGATGGTACCAAGTCTGCTGTCACTAAGAGAGCTCCTCAGACAGGAAACACTGAGCCACTAAATCCTTCCCTCTCTTTGTTTCTAGTGTGGAGCTAGATTTCAAGCAGCAGGAAGACAAACTCCAGCCAGTTCTGCGGAAACTTCATCCGTTCGAGGAAACTCAGGTCGCACCTTCGCCTTACACTCAGGAGACATACTCCTCAACTCCCAAGCAAAAATCCAAAACTGAATCTAAAAAGCACGGACGGTGGAAACTCTGGTTCCTTTAACACTCACGGTGTTTGGAGTCTGAAGGCCGTCTTGAAAACCCACTGGAGTTCAAAGTAAACCCTTTTCCAAAACAAATAGGATGGAGTGAAGGGCGGCTGGGCCGGGCGCCACCCAGTTCTCCCCCTGCTTACCAAAAAGGCCTTTGTGACAGATCAGCTCACAGAGGCAAGGGAGTGCAGGTCATACATTGCCGGCTGTCTCTGCAGTTCGGGGATGTGGGATGTAAAATCGGAAACGAAACCTAACACAGTCAAAGGTGACACCTAAAATTTCTATGCCCCACCCCCCAGATTGGCAAGGATTAGGTTATCAACCTGCAGACCGGCAGGCTGTCACTCTGTAACACAGCGAAAACTCATAATTATTTTCAAGCCTTTATTTTTTTTAAATACTGAGAAGAAAAAGTAGCCCTTACGTTTGCAAAGGACTTCATTTTTACGTTTAATTTTGCAAATAAGCGGGGGGTGGGTGGGGGGGAGGGGGTGTGCGAGTGCAATTTTCAGCACATCAAATTCCAGAGAAAGCACAATTTTTTTCAAGTGGTCAGAGACCATGAATAATCTCTAAAATGTGACTATATGTATATTTGCCTTCATGTGCTGTAGCGCTAAGCCAAGTGACATCTCAGTGTCACACTGACACCTCAAATTCAGCATCTCCTTCATCTCCAGACCGGCAACATGCTTTCTGCTCCTTCTCCAAATGGCCAGCAGCAGCCAGGAGTCCCCCAAAGTCAGGACATGCTTTTAATCACTGCAAGTTGACAGGGTCAGCGCTATCAGACACTAAGCTTTCATAGATCTCATTTTTCAATCTTTTGGTACCCAAAGGCCAAATGATAAATCCTGGCAAGAATTTGAAAACACACATAGAAATACACAATGGATTATACAGTCACCGATAAATCACAGGCATTCTCTGCCACCAGAAAGTGTTTCTGTGGATCAATCTTTGAGACACTGTTCATCACGAAAGCCTAGCCAGATGTTTGATACCATTCGTTATGCTTCGTAACAGCTGGGGAAGTTCTGACCATCTCAAAGCGAAACCGTGTGCTTAGTTTAGCTGCTACCCACAAACCACCTTAATGTCACCAACATTTAACCTGCTAGTGAGCTGTACTAAATGACATTACCTAGGGGAAAGCTGTGAATCAAATGTTTTTAGGTCTTTTCTAAATGAATCGTGACACTTCGAGTTGTCTTTTGATTACACATTGCGATATAAATCTCAGTTCCTTTATTTTTTCACTCATTCCTTTGCACCTTTGCAGGTACCTTTTTATAGAAATAAAAAGCCCTACTCTATTAATGACTCTATCAAGTTTTGGCTTTTCACAATAGGAAGTAAGCTTCTTCTTTTGCCTTTTTTTGTTTGTTTTGGGGGGTACAACTTTAATTTTGAGTCGTTTGTGAACGCACAAGGAAACCGAGTCTCCTAGTCTCTGTCCAACCATTTCTTATCTAATCTCATGCTCACACGCACACCTTATTGATCAGATGCCATTAGAATGGTCAACCTTGGTAAAAGGATCCACCTGCATTTCTCAGATTGGAGCTATTTCTTGTCATGCATTTTCCTTCTGACTCAACAGCAAATCTATTTTTTGTTCTAAGTGTTCTGATTCTACAAGGACCTTAGCGGGCTTGAAAAAAAAAAAAGAATGACAGGAGTATCTCATGTAAGCTTTCTTTGGGGGTTACTCCAGCTATCTCGCAGATGTACGCTTTAATTAAAAGAAAAAAACATGCATCTTTTGTGGAATCGATATACGAGGATATGAATCCTTGAATATCACTTAATAGAATTGAGAACTATTTTTGTGCAAGGAGGAGACTGAGTTAAGTTGATCAAATACCACGAAGGAAGTGCAATTGTTCTGTGTAGAGATAAAATTTGGAAAAAAAATGCGTTTCATGTATTTTATACTGTTTTTAACTAAAGTTATAAAAACATGTTTGCAACAAGTTATCTCTCCTTGTGTTTTCAGAATCCCGAGTGTCTCAGTGAATTGAAATAAGGGTGTTAGCAGCTTTCTGCTTAGTGCCATAATTCTGTCTAAACAAGAGGACATCCTCGTAAACAAAGTAATATCACTGTCTGAAGCAGTCTAGACCAAAAAAAAAAAGAAAAAAGAAAAAAAAAACATTTTCAGAATCTAAAAGGAAACCGAAGTTAAATGAATTCCTATCTAAAAATGAAAATATCTTCAGAATAGGAAAAAAATACTTTCAATCTCATTTCATGACTGCAACCTGTCACTCACAGGTGATGACTCTTCTCTTAGAAAGATTTAAGTAAAATCTTTGATACAAAACCAAGGTAAAAAGTACCGTGTTCCCTCATATGTAGATGTACACATGGCATTACGTATAGAGATTAAATTATTATACTTGTCACTAAGTTCTTTATTAATTTTTAAATAAAAAAAATCAAAGGTCATGTTTTGTGCGGCTATTAAACTTATTTCATAGTCTCAATAGTTTGGGGAAAGAGAAGCCATTCATCTAAGGAAATAATAATGAAGGAAGGGTATTCAGGCTGAAGAGAACGTCGCAGAGTCTTCAAAAGAGGAGAAGATTCATAGGGTGTGGGCCCTGCCTACAGCCTGGCCTGGCTGGGGCAGGGACAGGGCTGGAATCCAGCACAGACTCTGCTGACCAGGCCACACCCGCTGGCACAGGTCTCGGCTGCCAGGAGGACGTGATGGCTTTTGAGATCAACGGGCACCATGCACAGCAGGTCTGATTTTTGAAGAACCTCGGGGACAAGGACCTCACTGATATTTCCAGGGCAAATCCTACCATCCCCTGCCCTCCCCCAAGGCAGAGTCTACATCATCCATCCAGCAAGTCCCCGGCCCCAGAAACTGGCCGCCTCCTTCCTTTCGTCCTCCCTCCCTGGGATGGGAGACCAGCGCCTCCATTGGGCTGAGCACCCTGCCTCTCCCATGAAGACCAGCCCCAGCCAACCTCCTCTCCCAAGGGAAAAGGTCCCCCTGGCAACCTAGGAGAGGAGAGCCACCTCCCGCTCTCACAGGCTCTGCAATAACAAAGTCCGCTGGCAAGGATGGGGCTGAGACAGAAGGCCCCCGCTGCCCTCACAAGTCCCTCTGGGCAAAGAAGGGGTCAGGAGTCAGGATGGAGTCAGGATGTGGAGGAAGACTCCATGCCTGGAGCGCCCGGGGAAATTCCAATCACACTCGACAATCATCTGTGCGCCACACACTGCTCACACACGTGCTCACCCTGTGCTGCCTCACAGGTCCTCTCTTATAGATAACCAGATTCAAGACATTCTGCACACAGGTGCCCACCTGTCACGCTGCAAGTGTGTGACTAGCCTCCAAGGAGCAGTCCCAGGCCTCTGCATCTGGTCCTTCAGTCTCAGACGATCCCCCAAGCGGAGTATGATCGGGGAAATCAAGATGTGGGAAAACCTTGCTCTCTTGGAAAGGGCACAAGAAGTTGGCAGAAGTTTCCCCCATTCCACGAGTTTGCCGAGCTGTCCATTGCCATGGAGACCTGAGGTGTGGCAGTCACAAGCGTCGTTGTTCACGGACCCACACCAGGCTGACTCCAATCTCAGATGGTAACAATGAGCATGCCTGGCAAAGCCATTCTTCTTGGGGTACCACCATGGGCAAGGCAGATCTGAGATACACCACGCTCAGTTCCAACAAAGAAGACGCACCATGCAATTCAAGTGCTTCCTTTGTGCTTCTCATTGAAGACAGCGAGAACAAATAATAAGAGACAGGCCATGAGCCTCTCCATTCCATGCTGTCTGTGAGGACACAACGTGTTTACAAATCCCACCACAGCTGGAATGGTTCTTCGGGAGCATTTTTATCAGCGAGTAAAATTTGACATGATTACATGTCACCTAAAGGTCACAGAAGCTGCCTTCCACACTGATATGTCTCCTTTTATCTAGAAAATCTCTTCATTGGCACACTCGGCAGGGGATAAGCGTGCAACCCATTTATTGGGCGGAAGAGAAGAACGACCCGATTCAGAAACTGGCGCTAACTCCTCGTGCTATTGTGTGCAGTGTGCGTTCGACAGCTGAGAAGCTCAGGTGCAAGCGGTACACTGCCTTTTAAGTAACTCAGTAATTCACTTAAGATACGGTTTGGGATGAATATGCAAGAATCGCACAGCGTATTTTACCCAGGGAATGACGTGGTCTTGATTTCCTCGGCAACAAATCCGCAGTCAGAAACCAAGCTTGAAAAAATGAGGGCCACAGAAATATGAGAAAGGCAGGGGAACACTGCTGTAACAAATACCAAATGGGAACGAACTGATAAAGTCATCACCACTCACACGTGTACCCACGTCAGGATGACTTTCTGTGAGTCAGATGTCTTCCAAGTAGATTTATTAACAAACACACACGTTAGAGACACTTTTTGTAATACTCATATAGAAAAAGCAGATACTGTCCACTTGAAACTTTTGTATTGTTTTCTTCTGCAAAGCAAGGTTAAGATCAGCACTTTGTTAAAAGCACAATCATACGAAAAGTCCATTAGAACAGGTGTTGCAAAATGAACGCATGTGCGTGGGGACAGAAAGTCTTTGTGAGAAGTCTTGGTGATGATCTCGGTAAAGGGGCTGCATGCATGGGGAGACCACACCTCTTACAGCATTTTTTAAATGCAGAAGCATGTCAGGTCCTTGTAAATCATGCAGATGCAAAGAAAGCAGTGGGTTTTCACTAACAGCATCTTCCCTATCATTGGTGCTACTGTCACAAGGAAATACCGCACCCATCAACCACCCCTACAGCTGGCTCTTAGAGTGGAAACAAAAGAGCTTCCATCACTCGAGTCTAGGGAATGAGGAGGTTTGGTGGTCACAAGAGCAAGTGGTGAACGCAGGCAGAATTTTTCCCATTGCTAAGTCTACTTCTGTCAGTTTTCCAGGGGAATCTTTCTTTTGAAGAGGCCCACATTCTCATGTTAGTGAATTACTAATTTTCAGTCTTCTGCTGTGTATACAGGCCACAGAAAAAATCTTAAAAAGTCCTCACTCAATTACATTTTTAAAGGACCCATTAATGGAATGTAAACCTGATCATCTAAAAGCAGCAGCAGCGGCTCACGTCACAGGAGAAGGAACAGTCATGTGTATTTTCCTCTCTGCTCTCAACCCAGCGTATTTACAGCACTTATCCCAACACAGACACGGGCTGTGTTTGTCCGGGGGTCCCGTGTGAGGGTCAGGGTACCCATGTCACCCACCAGATAAGTAGTCGGGTCACCTGCCCACCAGACAGGAGCACCTGAGCCCCCAGGGCCCCTGCTCGGAGCCGAATACAGTGACGCTGTCAACCTAGAAACCTCTTCAAAGAGGAAGAGAAAAATCAAATCTGAAATCAGACAATGTAAAACTCAGCATCTCAACCCACTATTCTACAGCATCAGACAATCCTGGAATAAAGATAAAATGGCATCTTAAGTCTGTGGTCAGATACTGCAAGTCATCTGTGTTAGGGCCCGTGGTCAACAACCAAGCCATCCACAAGCCTAAACTTGCCAAATGGAGTTCCCTTTGTCAAAAAGGCATCCACTTAGTAGGATCACGGCGTATTTTTATCCTCTGCCTGAGATGCGTTCCAACAGCCCATTTCAAATACGAAGTGGAAAGGTATAAAATGAACTAAAACAAGTGATATGTAACCAACTGCATGGTGTTTATAAGATACCAGATACAGATAAAAGAAAAGGCTTACACTGTACATCACAGCTTAGCCAATAACATGTGAAGTCCCCCAGTTCTCAGCCCTATATATGAATGGATGGGGAAACTGCCAGGCCACAACAGCATCCCCAGCTGATGAATAATTCTGACCAAAACAGAGGTCAGACGTCTACTCCTACTGTTGACAATATCATGAAATAAATCATTAAGTGAAGCACAGGTTTTTAAAACTTTTTAAATCACTTGAATTTTTTAGGTCCATCTTCAGCAATCATACAGAATAGGTGAGCTGATTCACGGTTATACCACTTCCATTCCAATGATGCAAAACAGCAGCGCAGACACGTTAAGTCCTGGAATCTCTGTGTCACACTGGGGATGTCAGGCCGACCCCAGGCATGCCGCTCGTTTCCCACTCTAGAGGGGGCCCTGATGAAGTCTTTTTGGCCCATCTTGTCAGGGTGATTTTCCCCCCAGCCCCAGATCCTCCTCTCATCTAAATTCCCAGAGCAGCAACAGTGACATTAAGAAGCCGCCGCACAAATCTGCACGGGAGCCGATGGGCAGAGCAAGACCCAGCGCCGGGCAGGGCAGCCTTTCAGTCTCACCGCTCTGCGGCCGTCACCAAGCGGACTCACGGCCCTGACTCCCAGAGAGCTTCCTGAGCACCGCCAGGCGGAAATGGTGAGTGGCCTTTCTGCAAACATCGTGACGTTGTCACCACTCATCAAATAACTATAGGATATTCAGATTTGGGTGGGTTTTTTTTTTTTTGAGAGTCCTTCCCTGACAGCTTAATTCATTTTGCTAACTGCTACTGCTAAGTCACTTCAGTCGTGTCCGACTCTGTGCGACCCTATCCCTGAGATTCTCCAGGCAAGAACACTGGAGTGGGTTGCCATTTCCTTCTCCAATGCATAAAAGTGAAAAGTGAAAGTGAATTTGCTCAGTCATGTCTGACTCTTCGAGACCCCATGGACTGCAGCCCACCAGGCTCCTCCGTCCATGGGATTTTCCAGGAAAGAGGACTGGAGTGGGGTGCCATTGCCTTTCTGGGCTCCTCGTACACACATTAGAGATGTGGGAACTGGGAAGAGTCAGGTTGGGACCTAAGTCCTGTTCCTGCTTCTGGAGACTTCTGCTGGAGACGGGCTGGGTAGGGGTGATGAGCCTGTGTGGGAAACATGCTCTACTCCATCCCCACCGTCCCCCCAACTGAGCCCTGAACTCCCCGCCAACCCGTGCCATAGGAGCAAGGCTGCAGCTAGGCCAGACAGAGCCTGGTCCTCGCTTCCTGGCCCCCCTGGTTGACACTGTAAGGGTTCTTCCCAGGAACCCCCGAGGATTCTGTAGACCACAGGCATCCCTCCAAGCCTTTCAGGAAAGCAGCTGCTGATCCATGGTCTGGCCCCTTCTACCTCCAGGACATCCTGGCATTTGGTCCACGGACACAACA